GCTGTGGATATTTCAAAGAACTCTCCAGAGACCCCCCAAACGAGGAACCCCGCTGGAGAACCTCAGCGCCCCAATCAGAACCAAACCGACGCGTGTTGCCCCCCGCTCGGCTTTCCGAACGCGTTGGCGTCCGCCCTCGCTACTGACCAACAAGTGGTGGGCGTGTTTTCCACCACCACCACCAGAAGTAGGAGGGGGAGGGGGTCCTCCTCATCCTCCTCCTCCTCCTCCTCCTCCTCTTCTTCCTTCTCCTCATCCTCCACCTCCTTCCCCTCCAACTTATGGTGCTGGTGGAAAACAGGCCCATCAACAAGTGTGCTGTCTCCCCCTGTGAGACTAAGGAGCAGACAGGACCCTGAAAGCAGAACGAGGCAAATGACATGGTGCACGCGGACCGCCCTTTACTGCAAATGGACCCTTGCAACTGGAAAGCTATCAAATGCTGCCATCGTCGATGGCGGCGACTGCAATATTGACGATGATAACGGCGATGCCGGTGACGAGGTCGACGATGACAGCGATGACGCCGACCACGGATAGCGACGACGGCGACGCGGATGGCGACGGCGAAAGCTCACCCAAAACCAAACGACTCATATCATCCAACAATGCGTCGACCGTAAACCCCAACATGACCCGTGGACGTTCCACATGCGAGATTGGGATACACATCTTCCCTGAAGCTACCGATGGCGCCATACCACTAGGACTGGTCTTGGATGTGGGGCATTCAATTTCCACGCCCTGAAAGAACACCATTCTGGGGAACATTCAGATACAAGGACTATCAATGAGTGGGGCTCGGGTCCACTCGAAGACTCTCCACTCTAACCAGATGTGCATATCATGGTGTGCTCAAAGCGCGTCTGGATGGACATGATATTTGCTGACTGATGTTGCTTGCTTACACTGTGCGTCGATCGGGCCCATCAACAACAAATCCTAGTCGGATAACATCTGTGCCGCCAATAGCTAGATTAGAATGAGCAAGAGCAGCCGTGAAGCTCCATGCTCAGATGCGAAGATATGGCCCTCCCACTCGAGGCATCCCATCCTTTGGGGACCGCGACTGCCACGATGGCTTCTTACTGAGATTTCGACTCCCGTCCAGCCTGCTTCGACGGGGGACTAGAAAGCCCCTTGACCTCTTCCTCCGTCCCTCACTCCCCCCCCCTACGGGCCCACCCTCTCCCTCCTCTAGCCTCCGTACTCCTGCGCCACACCCGCATCACAAGCGATCGTTCCCACCGGGGTCCTCGAGATCATCTTCCAGGCAGTGGCAGATGCGGCACGGCGTCTTCAAGACGACTTGTGCCTGGCAAGCGGCTGCGGGGGGCGACTGCCGTGAGCAGTTCCTGCCCTCCTGCTGATCGACGGAATATTGTCTACGTTTGTTGTAAGCCCCCCTTCGACCCCAATTTGATGTTACGAAAACGCTCCTTGATTCCCCAGTCGCCTCACACACCTAAGTCCTGCACTGGGCCGGCGACGCATGTCAATCGGAGGCAGAGGCGCTGCACGCATCCCAATTGTACACCTGTGCATTTTCGATGCCCCTCTTGTTTCGTGTTTGGTTCTCTCTTCTCTCTCTCTCTCTTGCTCTGTCTCTCTTGCTCTGCCTGTCTGTCTGTCTGTCTGTCTGTCTGTCTGTCTGTCTGTCTGTCTGTCTGTCTGTCTCTCTCTCTCTCTCTCTCCCAAGCGCCCTGCCACGGCAGCGTGCAGGGTGAACGAGGATTGCTGGTCCTGAAGAAGATGCCAAAACATGTTGTGCGCGAGTGTGCTAGCTACCCGTGGCCAAGCCACTGACCGATCGAGCGCGTCGCCTCTCAAGGACTGCGGGCCAAAGGGTTCCTCCTGCCTTCTCTGGGATCCCTGCTGCTTCCCAACACGGACCAGAAGCCGCCGGCTCGGGCGATCTCGGGCCCCCTTCTGGCTCGATGCATGCTGCCCAGACCAGCCCCATCCTTGGAGAGCGGTCCCCTGCCAAGACCGCCGAGTCCAGCGACCTGTGGGCCCAGAAGGGGGTGGCCGCGAGGGGGGCGCGGAAGTGGGAGCGAATCCGGGAAGCGAGGGGCGGGAGAGAGGCGGCACCCGACGGGTACACCCATGGCCCCGACCACCGTGCCTCGCCCTCCGCATCCTCCTGCTCGCCTCGACCTCTTCGTCCTCGTCCTTCTCGCCCTGCCTTTTTGCATTTGCCTCCCCTCTCGGTGACGCTTCGCCTCATCCGGTTTATCTTCTCCTTCCCCTCCGTCTCCGCGTCACTCTCATCCTCCGTTTGTTTCTGCTCCTCGTTTCCCCTCTCCTGCTTTCCTTCCCCGTTGTTTTCCTCCCGCCACCCCCGTCCCTCCTGGGCAACTACCCCAGAGCTTCCCTTTTTCTCGCTCCTCGTCCTCCTCATCCCTCCTCCTCCTTTATCCTCCTGATCCTCCTCCTCCCTCCCTCCTTTGTCCTCCCACCCCCGTGTCCTTCTTCCCTCTTTTGTCCTCCCACCTCCCTTGTCCCACCTCCTCCCTCGTCTCAAATAATCCATTAACTACCCCCCTCCCTGCTCGTCCCTCTTCCACTTCGACCCTCATCCGTCTCTTCCTCCTTACTCCTCATCGCCACGCCATCTCCACCTGGTCCTGCTCCTCGCCGCCCATCCTACGCATCGACATCATCCTATATCCTTCCTTCATCCTCCTCCTGCTCCAGTCCTCCGTCCTGCCGCCCCTCCACATGTCAAAGTGTTCCTTGTCCTGCTGCTGTTCTTCCTCCTCCTCCTCCTTCCTCGTTCCTCCCTTCTCCATCCTGCTCTGGCGAAGCGAGCTCGCCCCAGGAGGACAGCTGCCAGACACAATCTCCGCGCAGAGTTCCGCCGCGTCGACTCTTCCCCTCCGCCTCCTCCTCCTCCCCGTCCTCTCCTCCTCCTCCTCCTCCTCCTCCTCCTCCCTCCGCCTCCTCCTCCTCCTCCTCCCCCTCCTCCTCCCCTCCTCCTCCTCCTCCTCCTCCTCCTCCTCCTCCTCCTCCTCCTCCTCCTCCTCCTCCTCCTCCTCCTCCTCCTCCTCCTCCTCCTCCTCCTCCTCCTCCTCCTCCTGCTCCCTCCTCGCCCCTCCTCCTTCCTCCCCCCCTCCTGGGGCCCTCGCGGCGTGCGCCGCCCCCTCGCCGCGCGGGCCCTCCGCCGCCTCCTCTCCGCCCCCTCCCCGGGGCCCGGGCCTTGCCCTGCGGGCCGTGCCAGTACTTCAGGCCCTGCAGCCACGACCGGCGGCGCATCATGGCCTATCGGGGGAGGAGAAGGAGGAGGAGGAGGAGGAGGAGGAGGAGGAGGAGGACGAGGACGAGGAGGAGGAGGAGGAGGAGGAGGAGGAGGAGGAGGAGGAGGACGAGGAGGGGGAACGAAACATCGTACGTAAGGGCCACATCCCAGAAATAATTTCGAGCACCCGGAAAAGTGTCGAAAGAGTGTCGGTACAACGTCGGAGGAGTGTCCCCCAGGGCCCGGCACGTAAACACCCTCGAGTTTTGGGGGTACTTTTCTGGCGCTTGAAATTCTTTCTGGTGATCAAGGCTAAAGTAGGTTAGAACATCATATCTCTCGGGGGGTACGTGACGGGGGAACGAAACATGACAAGAGCATGAAGACTCGGAAGCCCGCTCCTGTTCAAAACGGGGCTCGGCCGTTCCTCAGGCCTGCGTGCGTGCCGCACATGCTGTGGCGGCGAGCCGCTCCTTTGGGCTTCGTGGGCTTCTTTGGAAGAGATGGGCCTGGTTCCTTGTTTATCGTTCCTCAGGTCAGCGGCCCGGCTGTACTAGGGCACGAAACACAACATAAACATAAAACTCGGGGGTCCGCGCGGATTTTCTGGATCGGCGCTGGGGCCCCCTGGCGGCGCCTCCGGCGCCGCCCCTGGCGCGCTCCGCGCGCCAGGGAGGAGGGTCCAAGCGCCAATCCGAGCAATCCGCCCGGACCTCCGAGTTGTCATGAGTTGTCATGTTCATGTCAGTCTGCGTTCCCCTAGCAATGTCGGGCCGCTGACCTGAGGAACGACAAACAAGGAACGAGGCCCCTTTCTTCCAGAGAAGCCCATGAAGCCCGAAGGAGCGGCTCGCCGCCAAGAAAGGAGCGGAACGCACGCACGCCTGAGGAACGGCGGAGCACCCTTCTTTGAGAAGCACATGTTCCTTACTCGGCGGCCCGGCTGTACCAGCACTGCGGAGGAGAGGAGGCACGCCTCATACGATCATGGAGTCTACAGTCTGATTTTGGAGGCCGTACACCGCCGTCGACCATGGGCAGGATACGCTGGGCCCTGGACCGCTGATCTGGGCCACGGGCTCGCCGCGCCAGTCCAGGGTCCAACGTGTGCCCAGCTCGGACTGGCTTGGGCCTGAACGTGTCTCTTCCCCCCTCCCCCCTCCTCCTCCTCCTCCTCCTCCTCCTCCTCCTCCTCGTCCTCCTCCTCCTCCTCCTCCTCCTCCTCCTCCTCCTCCTCCTCCTCCTCCTCCTCCTCCTCCTCCTCCCCCCCGTCGCCTCCCGCGACGGAAGAGGGGGAAGCCGAGGGAGAGAACCTGGCTGGCCGCCGTGACGCAGCCCTCTGAAGGGGCCCTGGGACACACAAAGAAACACACACACAGACACACAGACACACAGACACACACACACACACACAGAGATAAAAGGATTCCCCCTATTTTCCCGCATCTTCTGGGCTTCTGTCTCCCCCCCCCCCACGTCCCATATTTTCACCCCATTTTCGCGGGAATCGACGATGACTGTTGTCTGTGTTTTGGTTTCCCCTCCTGACCCTCCCACGCCGTAACGTTTCGGCCCGCGGACCCCAGCAACAACGCTCGGCCTCTCCCCAGGGGAGGAACGCCTCCCGCTGCGCATCGATGCCGGCGGGCCCCAGGGCTCGAGCCAAAGGGGGCCCAGGGCCGACCCCCAGGGAAAAAAAAAAGGCCGAGACCGAAGAGGCCAAGGCGCCGAAGGTCTGGGAGGGTGGGCCGCCTGGAAACTGGAAAGCGACGCGCCGGAGAAGGACCGTCGATGCCAGTCTGGGAACCGTGATTCTCCACGCCTCCGTGCGAGTCGCTGTGAAGAGCCGCCGGGCGGTCTCCGCCCCTTGCCGCCTCCCTTCCTCTCGCCCCACAGCGGGAACAGCAAGCATGGCAGGCATGCGCTCCCTGCGCCTCCGCACTCATGCCCCGTCCTCCTCCTCCTCCTGATCCTACTCCCTCTCCCGCTCCTCCTTCTCTTAGTTTCCACCTTCCCTTCCTCTTCTATCCTCCTCCTCCTGCTCCTCCTCCGCCTCCTCCTCCTCCTCTTCCCCCTCTTGCACCTCCTTCCCTTCATTTTCCTCAAGCATAGTGTTCCTCGTATGTGCACATACATGCCCATGCCCATGCTCAGCTCTCCCGCTGGGAACTGGAACTATCTGTTGTGTTCAAGGACTGCTGTCACGGAGCTCCAGAGTTCAGTGCCAACTCAGTTGGTTAGACCGAGCGCTTCTCCTGCTCTCAAGAGCAAGCCGTCGTCCCGGTGCCAGCGCGCCCGCTGCGCGGCGCGCGCGCACCCGTCCTCTTTCGGGATGAGCCCGCGGCAGCCCCGCCCGCCGAAGGGCTGCGCGTAGGGAGCTACCCGAATTTACTTCCCGTGCTTCTGTTCAGCTCTCTCTCCGGCAGGGCTGCCAACTTCGCCGCGCCTTGCGGAAAGCAGATCCATCGCGCGCACGCCATCCGCAGCGCGCTGAGCGCATTGATATGGCGTCAAAGCTGTCCTTCGAGGTAGTCTTCTTGTCCCAGGTCGCCTTCTTTGGATGCCGAAGGCTTCCCACCTGGGAGGCAGAAGTCTGGAGCGTTATGCCACGGTTGCGGTTGATATGGTGCCCGCTGGTCTTGGTGTGTTGCTTGAAAACATGTTGGTGGTCGAGTTAGTCGTGTTGGCTGTGGTGCTGATAATGTTTCGATATGTGATGTGTAGATTTCGTGATACGACATGGCTAGTTGCAATTGCCTTTCTTGTCAAAGCTGCTGTTGCTGTTGAGGGGTAAATTTCGGGTCGGAGGGGTTCGAGTCTACCCTACGTGTTTGCTAAGTTGCGTCGATTGCGTATCGAGCTCGTTGACGTTGCGCAGGCGCTGGCTGAATCGACTAGCCTTCTCGTCCAGCTGCGCTTGGACTGGCTTGAACACGTCCTGGAAGAGTTGCGGCACCACCGTGTCATTCAGAACCTCCCCGCTCCCGAAAACTTAGCCCTGTACTTCCTGTTGCGGATGATCGTCTTGTTGCATGCGGCCGTGCCCCATTCAGTAGTACCCATGGTGCTGCGTCTCTAGATCTTGAGCCGGACTATGGCGAGAGGTCTTGAGCCGAACAATGGCGAGATGTGAAGTGTCAGGGCTTCAGCCGAGCTGCCTGTGAGAGGCAGCTGTGTTTCCTCATCGACAGAGGAACGCATTACATAATGCCTGACGGATTAAAGGACTGGAGCTACTTGGACAACTGTGCGCGCCATCATCGTGCCATCGTCGAGGATGGGGGTGGGAAGTGGAGGGAGGGGATGAAGGCAGAGAGGAACAATACCCCGTGGCCCAGAATCCAAGATTACCTTCGATGATCCGAAAACGGCCCCATGATCTCAATATCATTCCGAGATGATCAGAGGAGTACCCAAAGGTGGCACCAAAATCCGCCAACGTGCACCCTGGCACGTTGAGGTGTGGAGGGGTGCCAAGGTCTGTGTGGCAGGATTTTTCACATGTCAATCAGCGATCCTCCCCCTCCCTACCCGCAGACTCCTGCGTGCACCGCCCGTCCTTTCCGAGGCCACTTCCCTCGTGTCCGCTCGAGGAAGGTTCACTTCCCGCATGGCAGCTAATGCCTGAACCCCCCGTTCCACGCATGCCCGCTCGAGCATGGTGCAGTTCCCGCATGCCAGCTAAAGCCTGAAGCCTCATTTCATGCGCATCTGCTCGAGGATGGTACACTTCCCGCATGCCAGCTAAAGCCTGAAGCCTCATTTCATGCGCGCCCGCTCGAGGTTTGTACACTTCCCGCATGGCTGCTAACTCCTAGACCCCTCATCCCACGCACCCGCTCGAGGCTAGTGCACTTCCCGCATTACCAGGCGCTGAACCCAAGCGCTCCAGGGCCTTCCGCCCAGACCACGACCCCTTGTTCGAAACGACAGATATGTGTCCCGAGCTTTCAAGACAGCCCGTGCAGGCAACCAGGGACACCAAGATGGCACACGATGCCTCGAAGACGGCCCAAGATGGCCTTGATCCAAGACGGCCCCAGATGCCACAAAGAGGGCCAAAAAGGGGCTACACGGGGCCCTCCAACAGGGTCGGAAGAAGCCAACATCAGTGATTGCCCTTGGGTGTTTGAATGGTGTTCGCATTCTCGCCTTTTCGGGCTGTCGTCAGCTCAAGACGGCCCAGGGGGACTCCACGATCGCCCAAAAGGCATCCAAAACGGCCCCAAGACGACCCGATAGGGCCTCCCGTGGGACCTAAGGACGACCTAGCTGAGTTGCGTCGTCATCATCGTCTTCATCATCATCATCAGCATCACCACCACCACCACCACCACCATCATCATCATCATCATCATCATCACCTCCACCACCACCACCATCATGATCATCATCACCATCATCATCAGCATCATCAACATCACCCCCATCACCCTCATCATCCTCACCACGGCTCTCCCAAGCGTGGAGACGCGAGGGTTCGCACGTGACGGCCTCCCGTACCCCCTCGAACAGCCGCCACCCAGAATGCTGGGCTGGCACGGTGGCGGGACTTGCTGCAGGCAGCTGGACAATCTTATGACTGGCACATGGTATTCACAAGCCGCCCTGCGATCTCTACGCGGATCGCCGGAGTAAGTCCCCGAGCCAGGCGCTCACTAGGCGGACCCGTTGCTTCAAGACGCACCTCGCATTCCCACAGAACAGCCTCAATAGCATTCAGACGACCCCGACTATCTTCAGATGGTCCGAAAACGGACCAATGGCCCTGAGATGCCTCCAAGATGGCTCCAAAACAATTGCATGACCTCAATATGAGTCCATACGTCTCAGCGTTTACAACTGAAACCCTGCGTACCGACGTTACAGTTATGTTGGCGGCCGCGTTGTACATATTGTCCTTTCTTGGCGGCGTTGGAAAAAGATGTCACGTGTGTCGGCGTTACAATAAGAATTCCTCCAGGGGCGGCCTTGTAACACGATTTCTTTTGCGGCGCCATTTTTACACAAATATCCATCTTGTGACGGCCTAACAGATTGTAGTGCCCCCCCGCGAAAAACATGGAAAACAGCGGAAACGCTGAAAACAAAAAACCATACAAATCAAACCAAGCGATGTGAACACATAATATAAAAAATAGCAATGTTAGCCAGAGTGGACCCCAAACAGCGGTCACCCGCACACTACGCGATGCAATAACTTGATCTAGGGTCGATGGTTCACAGGCACCCCCCAGATGGGATGGGTCCCAGGGTTCCCTAAGCAGATGGGATGGGGGGGACGACGACGACGCCGACGCCGACGCCGACGCCAACGCCAACGACGACGACGACGCCGACGACGACGCCGACGCCGACGCCAACGCCGACGCCAACGCCGACGCCGACGCCGACGCCGACGCCAACGCCGCCGACGCCGACGGACGACGACGACGACGACGACGACGACAACGACGACGACGACGACGACGACGACGGCCACGACGACGACGACGATGGCAACGACGACGACGACGAGCCACCCCACACTCACAAGGGGAGGGAAGGGGGTGCACCAGCAACGTCCACCACGCCACGCCCACAGGGCCACGACCACAGGGGGGTGTTGGGGGAGCGGCCCCATTCGCGAGGCTCACGGGCGTACACATCAAGCGGGCGGGGGAGGGGGCTCGATTACATATGCACTGGTAGGGGAGAGGGAGGGGTACCCTGAATCATATGTGTGGCGTAAGTGTATCATGCAATCAACGCAATGGTCTCGTATAGTGGCCTTACGTAGTGCAATCTACGCAATTGTGGAGTCACCTGCTCCTCGCCGTTCCCCTCCTCTTCCTCCTCCTCCTCCTCCTCCTCGCTCCCCCCCCTTCTGTGCTATGCTATGCGCTATGCACACCTATGCACAGCAATGCCACGCAATGTAAAGCAGTTTACAGCAATTCAGAGCAATGGGACAAAGCCGTGCCAACGAATGCAAAGCAATGCAACACAACGCCATGCACAGAAAAGAAGCATAATGCAAATCACCGTGGAAGCAGCGCATGGCAACGGAAAGAAACCACTGCAAATCAATGGCATGCAATGCTGAGCAGCGCAACTCCATGCAGAGTAGCGCAGGCTCAGACGGCGACGGGGCGGCGACGGCGACCACGTAGCCGCCAGACCGACGGGCAAGCCGCCAGACCGACGGGCAAGCCCAGAACACGGGCGGCGACGAGATGGCGACTGGGCGGCGACGGTGGCCAAATGGCCGCCATGACGACGAGCGGGCCCAATTCCACAGAATGGAAATAGGACCCCCTGAATGCAAACACTTATTGGGCAAAATCGAAAATGAAAGATAACACATTAAACACACGGAAATACACAAAAACGGATGAAACAACGCAGACCAGCAACACGTGAACTGTGGTGTAAACGTGTGGCATCGCAGTAAAAGTAAGTGAACAATAAAGCAAGCATGTGATAACATACAGAGGACCTTGTGTGTTGTTATTCGTTATTCGAGTTCCGTGGCTTTCGCGATTGGCCTCCGAGAGTGGCACGGCTGAAACAAAGGAAATCCTTGTGTAGCGGCCTTGCAAGGGGAATCCGTCTGCGGCGGCATTACGGCAAGATTTCCTGCGTGGCGAGCGCCATGGAAGGATTCCACGTATGGCGAATACAGCGACGTTACAACAAGGACTCCTTTTGTTGAGCCGTTGCACAAGGATTTTGTTGTGTGGCGGCGTTGCAGAAGGATTCCATGCGTGGCGGCGTTACAACAATAATACCTCATGGCGCGCTTACAAATGGACAGCTGTCGCGGCGACCTTACGAACGGATTCAGTCGGTGACGGCCTAACCAGTTCTGGCGGCTCCTGGGGGAACCCAGGAAACACACACACACAAAACTCAAGGAAAACCATGGAACGCACTGCAAACAATAATGCAACACAATATCACACTGCGGGAACACAAGCAAAGCTCAATACACAGCATGGGTAACATAGGGCCGCTTTCCCAATGCAAAGGGGACACAACTAGAACCATATGAAAACACACCAAGAACACATTAAACCATGGTAACAACAAGTGAGACTTGAAGAACTTCAGCGGGAACACCACGAAAACCAACACAAGAAAGCGGAAACTTATGACGACACAATCCTTGTAAGTTATTTCTTGTTCTTTTCTGTGTTTCCATTGTGTTCCCTTGAATTCCGTACTCATCGCGGCTGTCCTCCGAAAGTGACACGGCTGTCGCAAAGGAAATCCATGTTTAGCGGCTTGGCAAAACAAATCCTTTAGTGGCGAACTTGCGAACATGTGTGTTTGTTACGGCGAGCCTTCTAGCAAGGATTCTTTTTGTGACGGGCATGGCGGCGTTGCAGAAGAATTTTGCTTGTGAACAAATTACACAAGGATCTCTTTTTGTGGCGGCGAACGAATTCCATTGTGGCGGCGTCACAATAAGAATTCTGCTTGGGCCGCTTTACCGACACAATGCTGTATTTTGCGGCGACCTTGCAACAACATTGAACTTGTGACAGCCAGCCTACCAGATTCCGGCGCATCCCTGGGGAGAATCAGGAAAACAATGGAAAACAATGAACAAACAAAACTATGACAAATTGTGGCAAAAGCACAACGCCGATACACAGGAATGAATGAAAAAGCCCACCAACTAAGAATGACATTTGGGAACGCAACAGATACATTGAACATTAAAGGAAACGTGTGAAAGTTCAACGCAAACTCATACAAGCAAGAGACAACGAGTGAAAACATGATACGTTTCTAGTGTGTCACTGTTTCAAAACAATATTTTCATTGTTTTCCTTGACTTTCTTACTGTTCTTGGTTTTCGCGGCTGGCATCTGGAAAGCGGCACGGATGTCACAAAGGAAATCCTCTTGCAACGCCCTGGCCAAACAAAAAGCAATTTGTGGCAACCGTACAAAAAGGTTTCTTTTGCGGCTGGCCTTACAAACAAATTCTTGTCACTGGCGAGCTTAACAAAATCCTTCCAGGTCTCAACGAAAGATCTCACCACATGTATGTATACGTGCCTATATACATCATATACGTACGCGTATCAAGCCCCTCCCTGTCACGCCCCCCGACGTGTCGGCAGGGCGGGCAAGCCATTTCGCCTGCGACCTCCTCCCCACTTCCGATCCTGAAGCTTGAACGTTGCGAGGTTTCACCGTCGGGGTCCTAAGCCAAAACGCCTGCGCGACATAGCAAGCAACATAACATGCCCAAGACAGCTCACTCGGGCAATGTCGACACTGCTGAATTTCTAACTCGTCGCGCCCGACTCCTCCTTTTCGCCCCCTTTCTCCATGGGGGGGGGGTCGTAGGGAAGAGCGCCGCGCACAGCCGTCGTGAATGATCTTACCAGGTCGGCGGAAGGCCTTCGCCGAAATTTGGACTCCTCGCAGCAGCGCCACGAACCTTGGTCTCAAACTGTCGCAGCAGCTGCTGGGATGGATGGCGGATCCACCTCGAAACGGGGGCGCTCGCCCCACCGCGCCGCGCACCTTCCTTCGTCCTGAGAGCTCGCAGCAGATGCAGCGATGGAGGCCGCGGCTCCATTGCCTAGACGAAGAGAACACGACATAGACACAAACGTTCGACGGCCCGCGCGCGCGGACTTGTTGGATCTGCGCTGGACCCCCCTCCCTGGCGCGCGGAGCGCGCGAGAGGGCGGCGCCGGAGGTGCCGCCCGGGGGGGCCCGGCGCAGATCCAAGAAATCCGCGCGGAGCGCCTCCTTCCATTCGTCGATGTCGTCCTCTCTGTTCCTTACATTCCTTCCAGCAAGATCTTTTGTTCTTCGTCGACTGCACCATGGTGCTCTCGCTAGACGCTTCCACGCGTCCGAGGACCAGTGGGTCGAACAGGGGCAGCAGCTGCACGTATTATGGAGGGCGGCTCCTTCTCAGAGGGGGGGGTCTCTCGCTCGAGACGGCCTCGGAATTCGTGACAGGAAGTTATACCTCGAAACTCGAAGCTCGAATCTTCCTCGAAATTCGAGGCTTCCTCGTGGCTCGAGACTTCCTAGCTGTAACTTGTGACTTCCTCGACACTCGAGACCTCCTCGAAACTCCTCGTGGCTTCCTCTCAGTTACGACTCGTGACTTCCTCGAAACTCGAGGCTTCCTCGAAACTCCTCGCGCCTTCCTCCCAGTTATAACTCCTGACTTCCTCGAAACTCGACGCTTTCCTCGGAACTCCGACCTTAGGCAGCAGTTCTAACAGGTGGGGGGCGTTCCTGGTGTCAGACCGGGAGCGCCGCTGGACTCCTCGCCGAGCTGTCGGAGGCGAAGGGGTGGGATCGCAGTGCAGCGGAGCGCTCGATTTCGGCTTCGTGTTCGTGTCGCGCGTGCGCGCGAGGCCAAGCTGCCTGGGCGGACGAGAAGAACGCAAGCTCCCCTCCACTGGCCAGGGCGCCGCCGGGCCAGAAGACCGCCCCCGAGGTTCTGTGGCGGTGGTAGGGGGTGTCCCGCCGTGGTGTCCCGATGGTGTTCCGTGGTGTCGCCTGGTGGCCCTTCGATGGCCCGTCGGTGTCCCGTAGTGCGATCGATATTGGGATCGACAGTTTGATCGATAGTAAAGCAGATAGTGAGATCAATCGTGATATCGATGGTGAGATCGATCGTTTGAAATCGATCGTGCTATCGATAGCCAGATTGATTGTGTGATCGACACTACGACCGATCGTGAGATCGATCATGTGATCGATCGTGATGTCGAGTAGTGAGGTTAATACTGCGATCGATAGCGAGATCGATCGTGAGATCGATAATGACATCAATCGTGAGATCGATAGTGAGACCGATTGAGTGAGACGTTGATCCCTCCCCGCCGGACCTCCTTCTCACCGAAGGCTTGTCGTATAGGTATGATCATACCTGTTCCCCAATCAGAGCTTGCCTCTATAGGGGTCCTAGCGGATTAAAAGGTTAGGTAATCTGTGCCGCCGATTGCCCGGGTGGCCGGGGCCGGGTGCCCGGGTGCCCGGGGGTGCCCGGGGGTGCCCGGGTGCCCAGGTGTGTGGCCGATTTCGGTGGCCGGGGCCGGGTGCCCGGGTGCCCAAGGGTGCCCGGGGGTGCCCGGGTGCCCGGGTGCACGGGGGTGCCCGGGTGCCCGGGGTGCCCAGAAGTGCCCGGGAGTGCCTAGCCTAATAGCCCTATATCCCTATAGCCCAATAGCCCAATCGCCCTATATCTCCATAGCACTATAATCTTATAGCCCTATAGCCGTACAGCCCTATAGCCCAATAGCCCAATAGCCCAATAGCCCCATAGCCCCATAGCCCTATAGCCCTATAGCCCTGTAGCCCTATAGCCCTATGATCCTAACGCCCTATAGCCGTATATAGCCCTGTAGCCTTATAGCCCTATAGCCCGAATAGTCTTATAGCCCTTAGCCCTACAGCCCTATAGCCCTGTAGCCCTATAGCCCCATAGCCCTAAAGGCTTCTTGCCCTAAATCCCTATGGCCACATCGCCCTATAGCCCTATAGCCCCATAGCCCTAAAGCCCTAAAGCCCCATAGCCCCCAAAAAATTCTGATTGGGTTTTTTCTCTGGTATCATTCGTGTTCCTTGCTTTTCGACAGAAGGGGTTCTTTTCAAGACGGGGCTCTCTCGCCTGAGCGGCAGACCAATATGCTTCTGGTCTTTCAAGGGGGCGCCCCTTGTAGTGATAAGGAAGGCTTGAAGGGACTTGTGAGGAGGGGGCATGGAACGGGAAGGTATAATGTAGCATCTCTGATTCACCATGAGTTGACTCGGGCACCTCCCTCCTCCCCCCCCACCACTTTTCCTTGCCGGCGTGCAGACAGGGGGTGGCGCGAGGGGGGGCAGCCATCCAAGAAGACAGGGGCCCAATGAGAAACAATCGGAGGTCAGAAGGCTTCGGAGAGGGCCGAGGGGAAAGGATTTGGTGGTGGTGAAGGGAGGAAGGAGGTGATGATAGGGAGGAAGGACGACGAGAGTGAGGGGTGGGCAAGATGGATCAAGGGGGAAAGGAGAGGGATGACAGGGAGAGGGCGGAACAGGACCAGTATGAGGATGACGATGAGGAGGAAGAGGAGAGGAAAGAGGCAGGCTCCTCCTCTACGGAACTTCATCATTATTCTAATAAGTCCTCCTTCTCCTGAATAATTATCGTCCGTCTTGTCCGCCCTCCTTGCCCCTGTCCTCTCAGTCTCCCTCCTTCATATGTCCTCCTCCTACTCCTCACGTTGTCCCGGTTAAGTTTTCTCCTCATCTGCGCTTCCTTAGCATTGTCCTCCCACTCCTCCTCCTCCTCCTCCTCCTCCTCCTCCTGCTCCTTCTGCTCCTCCTGCTCCTCCTCCTCCTCCTCCTCCTCCTCCTCCTCCTCCTCCATCTCCACCATTCCCTCTTCCTTCCTCATTTTCCCCAACATCGCTCATCCCTGCTCCCTTCTCTTCTGCTTCCTTCTTCCTCCACCTCCTCCTTTTTCTCCTGCACCTTCTCATCCGTCTTTCCCTCCCTCCCCCCCCCCCTCTCTCTCTCTTGCTCCCTCCGCCCCGCCCACGCCGCCCTCCTCGCAGCTGTGCCGCCGCCGCCCTCGCCGCCCTCGCGGCCGTCGTCCTCCTCCTCGCCCTCGCCCTCGCCCTCGTCGTCGCAGCGGCGGCGGCGGGCGCTCGGCGGACGCGCGGCGGCGGCGCCACGGCGCCGTCGCCACGGCCGCCTCGGGAGGCCCGGCGAGCGCCCGGGGGGCGGGCTCCGCAGGCGGTGCGCGGCCCCCATGCTGCAAAGGGGGCTCCGCGCTCGGGCCGTCGCGCGCTCTCCATAGGCACCCCTTTCTCCAGGGAACCGGGGGGGGGGAGGGGTGGAGGAGGGAGGCGGGGGGGGTAGAGGAGGGAGGGGTGGAGGAGGGAGGAGGGAGGGGGAGAGGAGGGAGGGGGAGGGAGGGGGAGAGGGGGAGGGGGAGAGGGGGGGGGGGAGGGAGGGAGAGGGGGGGGGAGCAGAAGTTGGATATTGTCTCGATTATTCCGGGTGGCGGTCGCTACGTTAGCCGGAAAGAAAGAGGGGGAGGGAAGCGGGTCAGAGCAACGCTTGGAAGTGGTGGGGCGCGCGGGGACGGCGGGTGCTTTGCGACCGCCCCAATACGCGCGGGAGCACCGCTGTTTGGGAGGGGGTCCAACGGCCCCCCCCCCCCCACGCATCAGCGTGCCCGTTACCGGGGGGGCGTGGGGGGCGGGTAACGACAGCCGCTGCGCGACAAATGACAAAAAAACGACCTCCTGTAGGAGAAGAGAACGAACGGCGCACCGATCCGCAAAACAAATCCGGAGGCGACGGGGCGCGAGCGCTGCGGGCATCCAGGCGCAGTGGGCACGCGCCTCGGCTTGCAGGGCTGCGGCGCCACCGCGAACGAAACGAAACAAAACGAAACGAGGTTGGAGGAGGAGGAGGAGGAGGAGGAGGAGGAGGAGGAGGAGGAAGACGAGGTTTGGAGTGCCCGAGAGAGGATGATGAGGATGAGGATGATGATGATGATGATGAGGATGATGATAACGAGGAGGAGGAGGAGGAGGAGGAAGAATAACCACAGTGGCCAGCAAGGGGCGGGATGCACAGGGGAAGGGATTCCAGGGATTATGCCATCACGTGGTGGTATGAAGTAACATGCCACCCCCTGAACTCGATGAGCACCGCGGCGACACAAAACAGGAGGCCCACCCGTGGAGCCAGCGGAAATGTTTGTGGAGCACGATGGACACAACGTGATATCGCGAAAGGAGTCCCTCCACCATGAAGACGTTCACTCCTTCCGTGCCAAGCCACCAAAAGAGGATACACATTGATCAATGTAGGAAACATGCCACGGCTGAAAGAACGAGGAAGCTGCAGCCCACTCAGAGAGTCTAGGCATGTGCGGAGACCGCGGCACCACAACACGTTGCAGAAAACACGGCCTAATCCACCAACGAGCGCGACACCCACAACAGACACCCACAACATGGCTGTATGAGCGTCACACGATGCCCAATCCACTGATAGAAAGCCATTTGAGCAATGCGCGAGGACACGGGAACAGTGTTGTTGAACTCCAAACGGACACGAGCAAACATCCGACCAAAGCAGTATCCAAACCACCCTGGGCACTACAGGATTTCACCCCGACGCAGTATGATGAGAGCCCGAACGAAGGACATGGGCCGAAGGAGCAAAATAACACCAACATCGATTGCCAGGATGACGCACAAATCCGCAGACCCCTTGTGGGTCTCTAGGCGTGTGAGATAATTCCCCCCCCATACCCCCCCCCAGGGACCCTAAACCGGAGATATGACCCCCCCCCCCCCGGCCCCGGGGCACCCACCGCCGAACGCGCCATGGGGGAGCAGAAGGTCCCAAATAGGCCAAAAGCGCACAAACGGGCCCACGCGACGGTCCAAGAAGGCCCCAAAAGGCCTCCAAGACGGCCCACGGGGGCCCCGACACGCCAAACGAGCGCTCCAAGACGCCCAGGATGGCCCAAAGACGGGCTAAGAGGCCTCCTAGACGGCCCAAGAGGCCACCACGAGGCCCCAAGAGGCCTCCAAGATGCGTTCCAAAAGGGCCCCTAGACGCAAAAATTGGCCCATCCCATTCGTAAAACGTGCAATGTTCACACATTCGCCTTCTGGGCTTTCCGATGCTCCCAGACGGCCCAAGAGGCCCCCAAGACCGCCCCAAGACGGCCCAAGAAGCCTCCAAGAGGGTCCCAAGATAGCCCAAGAGGGCCCCAAGACGGCCCAACACGCGTCCAAGACGGCCCTAGTGGGCCCCGAAGACGGCCCCAAGAGCGCTCCAGGAGCGCCCCAAGTGGCCCCCAAGAAGATGGCCTCCAGACGGCCCAGGATGCCCCCAAGAGGCCCCAAGAGGCATCCAAGATGCGTCCCAAGAGCGCCTCTAGACGCAACAATTTGCTCATCACCTTCGTAAAATCTATATGTTTCACACATTCGCCTCGTGGGCTTTCCGACGTTCCCAGACGGCCCAAAAGGCCCCCAAGACCGCCCCAAGACGGTCCAAGAAGCCTCCAAGAGGGCCCCGAGACAGCCCAAGAGGGCGCCAAGAGGCCCCAAGAGCGCTCCAGGAACGCCCAAAGTGGCTTCCAAGAGAGCTCAACGTGGTCCCACACGGTCCAAGAGCGATCGAAGACACCCGAGATGGCCTCCAGATGGCCCAAGACGCCCCCAAGAGGCCTCCAAGATGCGTCCCAAGAGGGCCCCTCGACGCAACAATTTGTTCATTTCCTTTTGTAAAACGTGTATGTTTCACAAATTCGCCTCGTGGGCGTTCCGACGCTCCAGGACGGCCCAAGAGGCCCCGAAGACCGCCCCAAGACGGCCCGAGAGGCCCCCAAGACGGCCCCACGACGGCCCAAGATGGCCCCAAGACGGCCAAGAGGTCCCCAAGACGGCCCAAGAAGGCTTTAAGACGGCACCAGGAGGGGCCCAAGAGGGCAACCAAAAATTCAAAAATTTAGCTTTTATCCCCCACGAGCCCCAAGGGGCCACAAGAGTGCCCCAAGAGGCCGCCAGAGGCCCCCAAGAGACCGCCAAGACGCCCCAAGGAGCCCCCAAGAGGGCCCTAGGAGGCCCCCAAAGACCCCCAGACGCCTCCGTATTGCGAGCCGTCAAGCCAACTGCAATGCACTCCGCGCATACAGCCTTACTCTTCCTCGCGACGTGCTCACTATCTTGCTCGGCGCTAAAGTGTTGCTGCCGCGCGAACTGTTTCGTGCGCGCTGCGAACGTTAACAGCCTCTTCACCCGTTTCGGCTCATCTGCCACATTTGTTGCGGTGATGCCTCGCTGATCACAGCTTCCGCACACTACTCTTGCTCCGTTCGTCTTCCAGTGGTCCTCCACTTGGTTGCGGGTCGAAAGGCCGACCTCCCAGAAGGACACCCCGCACCCGGGTGCACAGCACGCAAGGCGCTCGCAAAACACGCCCCAGACCACCGGCATCACGCAAACATTTTGACCCCCTGCGTATCTGCCACCACCCGCGCGCGACACCGCACCCTCACACAAGACGCCGCTGGCCAGAAACTCTTGGCCTCGCAACACTCACAGAAAGGGTCGGCGGATGTGGCGTAAGCCTGTAGACAGATGCTTGAAGAAAACCAAACGATTGCCTCCAAAGGCTTGAAATACAGACCCAGCTTACGCCAATAAGACAACAGCTGAAACCTCAACACATACTGACTGGGCATCCCAGGTCCTGCCCCGGCACGGCATAATCGAAACCCGAGAGCCATGGGGAGGAAAAGAAGGAACAACACCATGAGACGGTCGCAAACCAACACCAAACAGCGGAAGAAGGGAAGGAACGCGATTAGACAAGAGACCGTCAAGAGGAACAGAAAGCGAGAAAATTGAGTCCGCTGCCTTTTCAAGAAGGCTATCCAGACAGCACCCAGCGAGGCCAACCGCATGCGGACGTGACGACTACAAAGAAGCACCCTCATTCCCGCCCCAGCGGCAAGGCTTAGGTCGGGCATGTCCCCCTCTACAGGCGGATTTGGGGCGACAAATTGAAAACGATTCAAAACATACGCAAACATGTTCAAAACAAATACAAGGAAAGTCGTCCCCCTATTACTTTTGTGACTATTTTGGAATCTGCCTCCTGTAGAGGGACAGGCCCGACTTAAGGCAAGGCGAACAAATCCTGTCCTGGCCCTCTCAGCAGAGGTCGCCCGAGCACGGCACGCACCCGCTGGCTCCTTCGTGCCCCCGACGCGCACGGGCGAGGGCACAAGCACAAATCTGGGGGCAGCACAAGAGGCGAGCCCACCAGCGGAGCGAGTGCATCGCGCCAGCGAGCTTGCTGAAGTCATCGCGCGCCCGTGGCCGACGCCATTTTCTTAATTCCCACAAATATGGAACACACACGTTGAACCTCCTCCTCCTCCTCCTGTGAAGTAGCACCGAGTTTGGACCGCTTCTTGCGACCATGCTGCAGAAGGGCAGGGTACGCGAGAGGGAGGAGTCGAGAGAGAGAGGACTTGCCCCAATGGCCTTCAAGCATGTCGAACAGCTGCCAGGCACAAAACCCGTTGGATCCACCTCCTCTCAGACGGCATGCGCGGAATGGCACTGATATCAACACACCTGCCAAGCATTATAACAAGGCGGACGGCGCCTCCTCCCCGAGGGTTTTGGTCACGACAGCTTGCACCGCATCCCCCGCATACGCCAACATAGTGTGGCTATTTTTGTCCCGGCCGCGTGGCCGATACAACCTGCAAAGCGGCGAGGGGTGCCATCGACAATGTTCCCGAACGACGTTGCGTCAGGAATACTGGCAAGCCGATCTTAAGTAACCTATCGCCGATCAAATCTGGCCGACAATCCCCTCCTGCAGCCACTCTTGGTGGGCGCCCGTCACAAGGCAACCATCGTCACCAGTACATTCCGTAAACAAACACACCAGGGCCTGAAATGAAGCAAATGTGATAGCCACCCTGCACATGTTGGCACGTTTGACCGGAATCAAATCACCGGTGCATGCAGGAATGAAGAAAACGGGCAAACGCTATGCAATCGCTTGAGAGTGGTAGGAGGGAGGGAAAGTTGCCGAACCGCGCCCGAGAGACTCCGAAGAGGAGAAGGAGGACTTGAGAAAGGCTGGGGGGTCAGGTCTGCAGACCACTTCAAACGGACGCCAGGGGGCGCAACCAATCAAGCTGAAATTGATGCACCACACCTGGCGTCAAGCCAAACCTCTGGGCACAAGCGAGTGGTTGG